TATATATATATATATATATTAAGAAATAAACACTATAGACTTGGTTGAAAGCTTTCTCCATTGTTCCTCAGCAGGAACCACTATCCTAAGGTTGCTGTATCCTTCCTTTCCATGATTTGATACCATTACTACATGTATTCCCTAATGTTATGTATTCTTGTGAACTTTAAATTTTACATCAATAGTATAATACAAATGGATACACTTACAAATTGTTTTTATTTTTACTTTAATGCTATGATTTCATAATTGCTCAATATTGTTATCTGTGAAACTAGTTCACTTAACTTTAAATGGTATCCCACTGTATGAATATAAATTATATACTCTCTGATTGATGGGCTTTTATCATTACTCCTACTTATTTTTTATTACAAAACATTATACATATCTTCTTGTGTGGATGTGTGAAAATTTCTCTGCAGTATATCCCTAGAAGAGGAAATGCTGAGTCACATATGTATTGTATCTATATATTGTATCTATCTATCTATCTATCTATCTATCTATCTATCTATCTATCGTCAACTTTACTAGATACTGTAAAATTACTCTCACACTGGTTGTAACAATTTACACACATCACTAGTATATAAGCCCTTTTATTTTTCTATATTTTAAGAGCACTTGCTGTTTTCACACTTTAAATTTTGTTAATATGTTGAATATGAAATAGTATGTTGTTTGTTAAATTCCCTTCGTTATAAGTGAGATTAAACTTCTTTTACATGTTTATCAGCAATGTTTTTAACTCAGAAATTACTTAGCAATATGTTTTAAGTTGTCATACATGGTTTTAAGAAATATTTTTGCTAGTGATTCCTAAATTTGGTGACATTCTCCCAAATGTGAAAACAAAGAAAGTCTTCAGATCTTGCGAAATGTCCCCTGAGGCAAAAAAAACAAAAACAAAAACAAAAAACTGTACCCTTTATCCTTGAAAACTACTGCTCCAGAGACAAACACTGTTAATGGTTTGATGTATAATTTTCTAAATTTTTAAATGAATATACATACACCTACATATTAAATATACATAAATTATGTGTTTATTTACAGCAATTATTACATACAGTGTTGTATATGACTTAAAAAGTATTAACATATTATAGGTTTCTATTCTGTACATTTTACATCTCTTGCATGCTTTTCAAAACTGCTGTGATAGTGCATTAGCACTTAAGTATACATATATTTCAAATTTTGAATATAGCAAAACATTGTATAACTTTTAACTTTTGAATTTCTTTTAACCTTTTGAATTTCTCCCTACAGGTAATACCTGTCACACTTTTGGTTTAATATTCAAGTATTTTACTATATAACATTTGATATATATTAAAAACAAATATATAACAGATATACATGTCTTAAGGCAGGAAAATAACTTAAAAATTCCATGAATCCATCTAAGAAGTACAAAACTGCCAGTACTGCTGAATTCAGGTCATATATTCCTACTCCTTTAGAGTAGGAATGGTTTTGTCATTCCTCCATATTGCTATGTAGTCGTGTAACATCCGCATATTCATCTTCACTGATAAATATCTGATTAGAGGAACATTCCACAATTTATTCATCCCTCACTCCTGTACATTGGGGTTTTCTGCTTACTAGCAACGCAACAATGAACATTCTTGTACACATCTAAAACTTTCTGTAGGGTTTTACTCCTTACTTAGAAGTAGTTTGGGTGGGTCTTTTTTCTTTTTCTTTTTTTTTTTTGAATGATGGTAGGACTTCTGAAAATATTTTCAGGGCGCCTGGGTGGTTCAGGTTCAGTTGGTTAAGTGTCTGAGTTCGGTTCAGGTCACGATCTCACAGTTCGTGTGTTCCAGCCCCATGTCGGGCTCAGTGCTGACCGCTAAGAGCCTGGAGCCTACTACGGATTCTATATTTCCTCTCTCTGCCCCTCCCCTGCTTATGCTCGTCTCTCTCGCTCTTTCTCAAAAATAAATAAACATTAAAACAAATTTTTTAATAAAAATATTTTAGATAGCAGTATTTTTTAATGTTATGAGTATTACAAATATTTTCTCCCAGTTTTTGGCATAACCTTTTACTTTTTTATATTCTCTTTATGGACTCTCTTATGGACAATTGCCAGGTATGTTTGTATACCATTATTTCATATTTTTTAAATATATATTTATAAAATATTTTAAGTTTTGGGTTTTGTATAAATAGTATCATACTATACAAATCAATATGTAACTTTTTGGTTTAATAACAAGATTTCTTGAGATGTAATTCACCTATCATAAGGTTCATGATTTTAGGGTATAGTTGCATAGTTTTTAGTACATTG